ATTAGAGTCCAGAGGATTTACTGAACTTGGGAAATGAGTGTGCAGACTCTGACATTGCTACCCCAGGGTCGGTTACCCCTTTTCTCACCCCATGGAAGTTGGCAGAGCCAGGTCTTAACTGCTTTCCAGGAGGTCAAGAGAATAGGGGCCTGTGAGGAGGGAGGGTATTCCATAGGGTGCAGGCCCTGGCAGAGAAGGCTCTTGTTGTGGGCCGCGCCAGTCAACATTCTTTTGTCGACGGGGTCCGCAGCATACCCTCTCTGCAGGGTGGGATGGGTCGATATAATGGGGGTGAAACGGTCTGTCAGGTGAACCCGGTCCCACCCCGTCAAGTAGAGAGGGTTTAAAGGTGATAACCAACACCTTGAATTGGACCTGGAAGACAACTGGCACCCAATGCATCTCCCGCAACAAAGGTGTAACATGTGCCATCTTTGAGGCACCCAAAATTGCCCACGTGGCTGCATTTTGAAACAGCTATAGCTTCCGGATACCCTTCAAGGGTAGCCCCATGTGGAGTACACTGCCATGAAGTCCAATAAATTATAAATATTAATTTTTGTTGTATAAGGCATAGTTTAAGGTCCATTGACACTCCTGCTATAGAAGTTAAGACACTCTCCCATGGTCCAGGCAATATAAAAACCTCTAATTCTTTATTCCCCTCATCCCTTAGCATCTGCATATCAAATTGATTTCTTGACAACAAATATCTATAAGAGCTCATCGTAGGGTTTTTTTTTTTTTAGTTCTAAAGAAGTTGTTCTAGTATCTCAGGTATCTCAGAAGCTGAAAATGCTGCTGGTCCAAAAAATGTTGTGAACAAATGTTGTAGCTGTAGATATGGCCATTGGGTTACATCTGATACATGATATTTATCTCTTAGCATGGAATATGTTAAAAATTCATCTTTATCATCTATCGATTGGTCCAGAGTCAATATCTGCGCTTTCATCCAACTTTTCCATATCACCATCTTTTCCCCAATTTTTAAAATTAGGTTTCCCCATAGAGTCCATTTAGCATGGGAAAAAGGGTCAAATCTTTGTTTATTAGAGATTCCATTCCATAGCTTTCTATCTG